ACACACACCATACCCACACACCACACATCATACACACACATACCACACACATACTATACACACACACCACAAACACAACCCCACAAACACACCATACACACACACACACACCACACACACATCATACACACACACCACACACACACACCACAGAGAAAAAGAGGAAATAGAATAGTCTCAGGCTGGCAAAGACAGTTCAGAGGATAAAGAAGACGCTTGCCTCACCAAAGGTCCCTCAGATTTGGAGTGAACTAAGTTGTGGTTTATCTAAACTCAAGGTGGAAAGCTGGAGGCAGCACTGATGCAGAGGCTGTGGAGAAACGTCCTGCCTTGCTCAGACTGCTTTCTTATATACCCAGGACCTCCTGCCCAGGGTGGCACTGCCCACAGTGAGCTAGACTCCCCCACATCAGTTGTGAAGCAAGAAAGTGGCCTACAGATTTGTCCACAGACCAGTCCCACGGAGGAATTTCTGCAGTTGAGGTTCACTCTTCCCAGATGACCCAAGCGGATTTCAAGTTGACAAAAACTAACAAGCTCACCATCCAACCTCACAGAGCAGTTGCACTGCACTATGCCATCTGTGGCAGTTACTGCGGCTGCCACCAAAATCCATCTCCACATACAATGCCCTCCCAGGTGTCCACAGTCCTGCTTCCAAGCCTCTGTCCCTCCTGGACCTACCAAGGTGATCTGCTGGATGATCTGCTGGTGGGTACAAGAGGAAGGGACATGAGTTAGTGTTGCTTGTGGCCTTGTGGCTGATTCTCCCATCAGAGAGGCTCATGGGTGCCTCAAGGGTGCCTCATCATCCTTTGCTTTCCTTCTCTGGGATGCAGGCTACATCCCTGTGGGCCGTCCCTGACACTCTCGGATTTAGCTTTTTAATGCGTGCATTTGTTCACCATAGATTTGTTGAGTACCCTAAACACCTACTAAGCCAGGCCAAGGCCAGGCGCTGGGAGGAAGCTGGGAAAGTAAACTGGGTTTTCCTGGTTACCATGGTGATTCCATCAGTCCAGTGGCCTGACTGACTTCCTCCCTGTGTCAGTCAGCTGTGAAGAGAGTGGCCCTATGCTTGCTTTTGATCCTTCCAGCAGGATCCCACTGGCCTGGTCCCTCCTCCTTCCCAGCTCCTACCTGTGAAGTCCAGGGATCTTCCTGGCTCTGAGCCCCACTCTGCTGCCACATCAAAGTCACCGCCAGGACCACATGAGGGTCATGCCTCATGCTTCATCTCTTAAGGAGGCATGACTCCTGTCATGATGTCCCCTACGCTTGGAGGATCTGATTTCAAGACACTTTGCTCAAAAACCTAAATTCATAATTGTAAGCACAAATTAAAAAATTTTAATTTTTCCCTGTGTGTGTGTGTGTGTGTATGTGTGTGTGTGTATGTGTGTGTGTATGTGTGTGTGTGTATGTGTGTGTGTGTGTGTGTGTGTGTGTGTGTGTGTGTATGCGCGTGTGCCCCCATGTGTGTAGAGATGAGAGGATCTCTACAAGAGTTGATTCTGTCCTTCCACTGTGTAGATTCTGGGGATCAAACTCAGGGCCTCTGGCTTGACAGCAGGCACCGTTACCCACTGAGGCACCTTGCTGTCTCACAAGGTTAAAGTGCAGCTGAAAAGCCAGTGCACACCTGTAACCCCAGCACTCTCAGATCTGTCCAGTTTGAGGCCATCCTTAGCTATATAGCTTTTGTCCCCAAAGAAAACACTAAACAAAATGCACCTAAAAAATAATCAAAAGAGTAAAATCTAGCCCAGCTGTGGTGGTGCATGCCTTTAATCCCAGCACTGGGGAGGCAGAGGCAGGTGAATCTCTGTGAGTTCGAGATCAGCCTGGTCTACAAGAGCTAGTTCCAGGACAGCCTCCAAAGTAACAGAGAAAACCTGTCTCGAAAAACCAAAAAAAAAAAAAAAATTCTTTTTAAGGCCAGCCTGGTCTACATAATGAGTTCTAGGACTCTATCTCTTATTATTTAGATACATAGGCATTTTCATTTTTGCTACAGGGACAGGAAACATTAATTTGGAGAAATTGCACATTTGACTCCCCAGGAGGGGCACAAATTCTAGAGTTAGGAAGTTAAACAAAGAACACACCTTCTGGGGAGAAGCCACCACCCCTTTTTTCTCTCTTCCTCTGGCCCATCCTCCCTCCAGGAAGAGACTCTCTGCGAGTGGCCATAATGGGCCACTTGTGGGCTATGATTGTCATCTTTGGGTTGAACTCAGCCTCTTTTCTAATTCTGTCCACTTTTCAGTAGTTGTCATATCCATAGCCTGCTTTTCACACCAGACTTCTCCTAAGTCAGGTTGGCAGCACTGCGTGCTAGCAATCAAACTCCTGAGCTATCCAGCTGGCGAGGCCGAGGCCCCAGCCTCAGCTGCCCCATGTCTGAGCCAGCTGTGTTGACCTAGGACAACCGAGGGCCCTGGTGCTTCCTCTGCCTCAGAAGGGAACAACAGCTGGTCCTGATGCCTAGTTTACCGTTAGGATTACAAGGATAATGCAAAGATGGCGTTTGTAACACGGATGTGCAAACAGAAAGCTCTCAGTGCTCCGTAGTTAGCTGCCAAATTACACGGAGACATTGAGGGCATTTAAAAAACATGTAGAAAGGCCCATAAGTCCTTTTTCTTGTTGTTGTCCTTTTGTTGTTAAGTTAGGAAGGGACTCATATCCCAGGCTTGAGCATTCGTGTGTGTGTGTGTGTGTGTGTGTGTGTGTGTGTGTGTGTATGCTGGTTCTCTCACTGGTATCCAGGGCTCACTTCCCTGTCCAGTCAGGAGCCCCAGGGACCCACCTGTCTCCATCTCCCCAGCATGGAATTTTAAGGTTTTACACCACCATAAGCAGTTTTTTATGTGGGTACTGGGGGTGAAACTCAGGTCCTCACACTTTGAGTGGCAGGCACTTCCCCAACTGGACTCAGGCAGCTCCCTAGTCCTGACCTTGACCTTCTGATCCTCTTGCCTTCACTGCTCAAGTACTAGCTTAGAGGCAGTGCTGGGAACCAAATCCCGGCTTCATGAATATTCCAGAGGCATTCTGCAACGGAGCAACATCTCCAGATTATTTACGCACACAAAAGAAAGCCAAGGATATCGTATAAAGAAAGCCAATGATATTGTATAAAGAAAGCCAACATTATTTTGTGTAAAGAAAGCCAACATTATTGTATAAAGAAATCCAATGATACTGTATAAAGAAAGCCAACATTATTGTACCAAGAAAGCCAATAATATTGTGTAAAGAAAGCCAACATTATTTTATAAAGAAAGCCAAAGGTATTGTATAAAGTTTGACATTGGTTGACAAATATAAAAGATTCCTTTCTGATACCCACAGGGCAATATCATCAGTATTCTCCCATAGGTTCTGTTCAGGAAGTCAGAAAGTAAGTGCTACCCCAGGCTCTCCCATAACCCACTAGCCCTCCCATTCTGTTTCTCTGGTCCCAATATAGTATCTCTTCACCCACCACACACACACTTGGTTCTCAAACTGCCTGAGAGTCATCTTACTGAAACTGTCCTAGGCATCCTCACACAGGAGCTAACTGCCTTGATTTCTCTCACTGCAACAAGGCTAAACCTCCTTCACAATGGTGACTGAGGAGGCCTAAAATTGTCTTCCTGTCCCAGAAGAAGACATGCCCTTGCCAGAGTGGTGGCCCACTCCGTTTGTTGTTAGGAGACACGGACTTGAGAACCTTTGCCCACGAGTAATTGATTATTTTCCAGGACCTACACGCCTGGCTTGCAGACACCAACAAAAAAGTCACGCACACCACTAACATTGCCAAAGATAGTGCAGCCAGAGAAGGGAAGGGTAATAGCAGGGTTTGCAAGAAGTGGCCTCCACTGGCTTCTCCTTGTCCAGGGACCCCGGAAGTTGAGGTTGGAGCAGTTGGGGAGTATTAGCCCAGCAGGCACACAGACCTGCTCAGTCACAAAACAAGAACCAAAGGGCAGATCCCAACCCTTGGTTCATCAGAGGAGCCCAATGGCTGGCATGTATCTATTGTGGGCTTCTCTGTGGAATCCAGTCTCCAGGTGTGACCCTTAAGATATGATCTGGGGAAACAAATTTATTACCTCAGCCAGACCTTTCTATCACAAATGAGAGGCTGGCAGGCACTTAGTGCTCTTCTGAAAGGCCTGAGTTCAGTTTCCAGTACCCACATGACAGCTCACAGTAACTCCAGTTCCAGGGGGATCAGACACCCTCTTCTGGCCTTCCAGGGTATAAGACATACAAGTGACTTCACAGACACACATGTAGGCAAAACACCCGTACACAATAAAAAAAAAAAAATGCATACATAACTCATGGGCTGGTGAGAGTAGGAGAAGGCACTTGCCACCAAGACTGACACCTGAATTCAATCCCTCTGGGACCCACACATGGGAAGAGAAAACTGACTCCAACCTGTGTACCCACTCCTTGGCATGTACATGCTCACACACACATAAACACAAAAACAAGTGTATTATATTCAACTTTTTTTTTTTTTTTTTAATCATCTGAGCTGGGTTTGGTGGAGCACACCTTTAATCCAGCGCTCGGCTAGGCCTGGTCTACAAAGTCAGTTCCAAAGCTGTGTCAAATAAGTAAATCAGGTATGCTTTTGTTTGCTTGCTTTTTTGGTTTGGGGACAGAGTCTGACTCTGTAGCACAGGCCAGCCTGGAATTTACTATGCAATCCAAACTGGCTTCGAATTCGTGAATGCCCTCCTGCCTCGGTCTCCAGGGTGGGAGTGTGACGCAGTGAGCCAGCACCCCCAGCAGGGGTCCCTCTTCCAACGGGAGCCGGCAAAGCCGCCTCAGACTTCCGAGGGAAGCGCTAAGCCCCAGGGGAGCCGCGCTTCCAGCCACGCTCAAGATGGCTTCAGCCGGCAGCCT